GGAACGGGAAAAGCACATGTCTGGTGAACGATTCCAATAAGACCTGTCAAGGTTCATGAGTTTCACAAAGTCTGCAATCTGCTCACCCTTGCTGTGCTCTGCCTGTCTTTTTGTAGATCGCTGGGATTGTGGACACCAAGACCGAGAGGGCCTGGAAGGAATCCCATGATGCGTTCCGTGGCCAAGCGCTGGGGCAATTTGTGGGATGTACTCTGCTTTCAGGCCGCAGTGGGGTCGGGTTTCCGGTCCTGTTGACCAACCTGGTGGGGGACTCACATGTCTTCCACGGCGTCCAGGAGGAGGGCGGGGGTTTTGTGCAGGAAGTCGTATTCAGCAATCAGGCCGCGGCGTTCCAGTATTTTGGGAAGGTGTGCACCCAGGCGGAGGTCGTTCGAAGAAAGAAAGGCAAGTCACTATCATAATCTTATCTCAAACGAATGTCCGAACTTCTCGTTTGCTGCTGTGGTGCTCGGAAGGGTCTTGTCCACCAAGACAGGTGCTGGCTTCTTCCCATTCGTCTTTTATGAGCACTGAAAAAGAAGTAGATCGTCTCTGCCGAGACTTTTTTGTTCTTCGGGGTCAATCCAACTTACGGTTGACGTCTTGATTTTGGGTAGGTATGGAATGCTGTTATCGTGTGACTGAAGCGCTTTTACGGGACTTGCGTCAATGCGTTCACAACAGAAGGAAAGCAATCTCAGATCTTCCCCCCTTTGGTTTTTGAAAAGTGCTGGAAGCTGGTCAGAGCTGGCCGCTTAGCTTTCGTCCCTCGTGTTGTGACTTTCAATCAGAAATTTTCTTCCTCTGGCTGCAGTGACAGAACTCCTTGCGGCGCTCGACAACCGACCTCCAAGACTCCCTGCCCCCCAACCATCGTCCCCCTTCCGGAACCCGCTTCATTCTCCGCAGAGCCACGGGCCTGTTGACAGCGACCTCAGAGAATGTGCGTACAGAGAGGTACGCCGGGAGCAGCCCCTGTTCAACCTGCCACCCTTCGAAATCATGATGGAGTATTTGTCTAACCTCGAGCAGGGTGTGGCGAGGGCAGCGGAAATCCGCTCGCGTCAGAGCTACATCATTTAGGGGGCCTTTGCTCTGCGTCTGGTTGCAAGGCTTGAGTCAAGTGTGTCTCGAACCAGTACTCAAAAGAATAATTGGGTGCAAGTGAGCCATGCCAAACAGTTTCTTGAGCGTTCTTTTAACAGATGGAACGAATCTTGACAATGTGCACTGGTTTGAACGCTGCTGTGTATAGCACGGTGGTGCAAATCGACGGCCTCAAGTCGGACACTTTCTCGCGCGACGATGGACATTTTGCATTGGCTTCAAAGCTCTTAGTGTATAGCTTGATGGTGCAAATGGATGGCCGGCCATGCCGCCCCTTTCCTGACCGATGTTGCAGTCCATGGTACGAAGCCGTCAATTTGCACTATTCTTGGAGCTTTATTGTATAGCACGATGGTGCAAATTGACAGTCAACCACGCCGCCGCTTTCTTAAGCGTTGTTGGGTATATGGTACGGAGCCATGGATTTGCATTTGGGCTGCCAAGCTCAATGTATAACTTGACGGTGCAACATGACGGCCGGCCGCGCCACCACTTTCTTGAGCAAATTTGCAGTTCATGGTATGGAGCCTTGATTTGCAACGTCATGCTCTACAAAGAAGCTTTCAAGAACAACGCTTAGAAGATGCAGTAGTCTACGATCATGAGATCGAAGTATTGTTAAAGCATGCAGCAATGCATCTATTGCTCAAACCAATCGGTTCCGGCCAATGACAGTCATTTCTCAAGCTTACTCCTCAAGACAAATCCTAACGTACATCTAGAGGGTACATCTGCAGACGTGCAATAGCATTGCTAGGTTCAAACGTCTATGCCGCGATGAGCCACTGCGAATATAATCTTGTACGTGACCGTGGCTACATGCATTGATGTCGACCGTGTATCGATCGTGCATCAATGCATGCTTGTAAGCAATCATTCCCGTCGCATGTGCCGGTGCCCGGATGGGTGCCAAGTGACCAAGGACTCGCACCAATTCTTCGCGGTCGCTCGTCGCGGACGTCATCAGAGCTAGCCCGGGCCTTGTCTCGCCGCCGGTGTCCAAGTGTCCAAGGTCCGCACCAACTTTTCGCGGTCGCTCATTGCTGACGTCATCACAATGCGAGCATGTCCAAGTGTCCAAGGTCTGGCACCAACTTTACGCGGTCGCTCATTGCTGAAGTCATCACGGTGCGAGCATGTTCAAGTGTCCACGGTCTGGCACCAACTTTTCCCGGTCGCTCATTGCTGACGTCATCACAATGCGAGCATGTCCAAGTGTCCAAGGTCTTGCACCAACCTTTCGTGGTCGCTCATTGCTGACGTCATCACAGTGTGAGCATGTTTAAGTGTCCAAGGTCTTGCACCAACTTTTCGTGGTCGCTCATTGCTGACGTCATCCATCAATCCAAGCAAAGCTTTTGGCCAACATTGTTGACAACATCATCACATGGAAATCATTGAATGCAATCGTGGTTGTTGAGCCATGAAAAAACATGTACCATCAATATACATTGGCGAATTTCAACAAGTGCAGATCATAGTTCCAAAAAGCATGCACACAAATGTTCCCAATGTGACTAGAAGAACGTGAAGCTCGTCGGGAGTCTGAATTGCATTGATAGTCACCCTGTCATTACCATGTTTGTAAAACTGTGCAAACATCGAAGCGTATCATATAGCGTAAGAGCACCTAATCCCCGGATAGTAGAATTGCCGAGGCGAATCGTTGTTCTTGGCCCTCTTGAATCCCTTTGTATCCATCCTTCTCCTCAACTCCTCATAGGAGATCCTCTTGGAGGAATACTGCCCATAGCAGGCTGCGAACTCAGCCTGCAGTGTCGACAAACCTTCCCCGACCTCGCAGTGTTGGTCGATGAACATCTGGAGTTTGTCCGCCTCCCGCAGGTACTCGTCCGTTGCATCCTTCACGGCTTTGGGGGGAGAACCAAGTCCCTCTGCACTGTCGTACCACTCCACCGAGCCGCGAGCTAACCAGGATAGAATCTGCCGACGCGACTCCTCTTCCTTCATGCGTTCCTTCAGGTGATTGTCTCTGAGGCGGTGGGTTACGTTCGTTGGGTCGAAAGCGTTTGCATCGACGTACGTGTTGGGAAACGGGATTGCTCGCAGTCGGCGCTCGACGTTGTCCTTGATCGCCGTTGCGCATATTGCAGGAGGGTAATTTGTCTGCACGAACGGTGTGTGCGTGACAGTGAACTCGACGTTGTTTGTGTGGAGGCACCGCGCCTTTGTTGTGCCGCTCCCTGTCATCGCCAGGACGATACCTAGATCCACCTGATCCTCTTCGGCCGTCTCGTCGGTGACGGCAAGCCGCACGCCCATCAGCTCGTAGATGTGGTTTGTAGGCGCATTCTTAGAGGAGGCCTTTTGGCCAGGAGCCGTGACGACCGCGTCCTTGGACATCGTGCCGTAGTAATCGCCTACCACAGCCTGCAGCATCTCCTTCAAGGCACCCTTTCCATTTCCTGCAGAAGGATCAATGAATAAGTTCAGGTCGAGGTATTACCAAGTGAGTGTTGGACCGGCTCCACCGGAGAGCAGCAGACATTCGTCCATGTGGCTTGAAACTCGACTTGTAAATTTTTGTCAATCGAAAGGCCAATATGCAGGACCACTGATTGGTCGAGTCCTTTGCCACACCGCCAAATCCTACACTCTCGCAATGCAGGAGCACGGTCCTCGATGTTAAGAGCAGATGCATCTGGAACTCCCTAGATTCGTACTTGCACAATTTTTCCAAGTCTTGGATCCGAGACCAGAAAAGTCGGAGAATTACCTCCCGCTCCAAGCAAGAGCACAAAGATGTCCTCCCGAGTGTGGCCATTGATGGCGTAGCCAAACAGCTTCCGTACGTAGTCGACAAGCTCGGCGTCATGGTTGAAGATGTTGCCTATAAAGGCATCCATGCGCGGAGTGGGATAATTTGTCCCCTGCAAGAATGATAGGCACACCTGAAAGATTGAATGGATCAACTCTTTGCCTTGTTAAGCGCAAGAGGAATGGCATCATAGCACGTCTTCAAGCAATCAGAGGTTTTGCACACTTGTGCCAGGACGGGATTATATGACTCAAAAGCCTTTAGAAGACTCAATGGCAAAAGCATGCGTGCAGATGGCGTGCTCGGATTCTTGTGAAGATAAGCAATGGAAAAAAAAAGCGTGCAATCTCCATGAACGGTCCGCCAGCTTTCGTAACGTGTTACCTAGTCAATGAAGCGAGTTGCTCAATTTTCCATGGAGCAGCATGAGGCGGCGGGCTTACCATGAAGTCCGTCTCCGCGAACTTGGAGCACATGTACTACTGGGGCCGGTGCACATCGAGCTCGCCGGTCCTCAGGAGGAGCACTCCGTTTTTCACGTTCAAGATGTCTGGATCTGCATCCAGCTGCTTGGTAAAGTCGAAATCAACCAACTCCCCACGGAGAAGTTCCAGCGTACTCGTGATCTCCCGGCTGTTGTTGTAGGTGCGCAGGCGCCTCAGCTGCTGCATCAGCGCCTCTTGCTCTTTTTCGTCACTGGTCGTCTCAACAGATGCCTTCCACCCGTCTCTCACTCTCTCACTCGCGCATAGACGATCCTGAGCTGGTTGATAGGCACGTTCTTCACATAGAAAGCGCTCTTCTCGTCGCGAATGAAACGCGTTTCGTTCCAATACCACCAGCTTTCTCTATCGAAACGCAGCCTGCGGAAGGGCAAATACTTGGCATAAGTGCTAATGAAGTAACGTGTTGATTCACACCAATCTCGACCGACGTTCTCAAAGCGTCTTTTATCTTGCGTTGAACAGTGTCAAAAACGGCTCTGATCGGCAGTAAAGCATTTCCAGCAGAGCAAAGCACGATGATGATGTCAGCAATGGGCGACCACGAAAAGTTGGTCACAGAGCTTAGACATTTGGACGCGCCCAAACAGGCCCACGTTCTGATGACGTCAGCAATGGATGACAACGAAAAGTTGGACACAGAGCTTGGACACTTGGACACGCCAAGACAGGCCCACGTTCTGATGACGTCAGCAATGGACGACAACAAAAAGTTGGACACTGAGCTTGGACACTTGGACACGCCAAGACAGGCCCGCGTTCTGATGACGTCAGCAGCTTTGAGAGCTGGTCAATCCAAGATCTGACGAGTATTTTCCGCAACTCTTGACATTATCGCAGAAGCTGCTGCTCAAAACCTTTGGTTACCTGTAACGCTTCAAGCAACCAAAAACACGATTCACCGCTGACAGATTTTTCAGAGCCTCCGACCTACTGGGAACACTCCCGGGACATTCCCACCTGCCGCAGCTTGCATACATCTCAGCGACAATCTTGATGCCGCCGACGTCTCCCTCAAAGGCCCAGGCGTCTACAAATCTCTTGTGCAGACTGTTGATCGCGCTAACGTCATCAGCACTGAAAGCCCGAGTCTCGCCCCCAGACATCGCCTCCGAGCGCGTAAGCTCTCCAATCTTGAGCAGGGGGCGGACCCCATGGCACTCCGAGCTGTTGCAGCAATAGAGCAGGTTCTTCTTGCGCACGAGCACGGAAAAATTGTTGGAACTGTCGTGGTGATTACCGTACGGGCAGCGTCAAGGGCCAGCCACTCGAAAGACGTACATTGGCCCGCTGTCGCCCATCTTGAGGCGATCAAAACGGGAGGCGGCCCGTGTCGCCCGTGGCAGCCACACAGGCCTTGACGCGCTCCAGAACCGCTGCTGGGGGAGTCAGCCGAGGGTCTTTGATTGGACGAGGAGGTCCAAACAGTACAGCCTGCGGCTCACTGCATAAAAGCGGGGCGCTCTGTTGTTGAAATCCTGGAAAACTGGATTGTAGTTGCTAGCACTTTGAATGACCGGATCCGAAGTAGACTTTGTGAATAGAGAGACAGAGCCCCCCGAGTCTTTAGCAGAAGCCCGATCGGACAGTGAGCTTGAAAGCCATCAAACGGACCAGATTTATCAATCTGAGAAGCATGGCATGCGTGCCACCGGTCGCTAGTGCACAGGGTCTAGTGGCCATCATCGATTAATACCCTACAAGTAGAGGCAAGCAAGCCTTGGACCGCAACAATCATTAAGATACTTTTAGCAGCTTAAAGACGTTTCAACGGTCTTGCTAACACTCCCAAATCTATAGAAGCGTGGAGAGGTCGGAAAAATGATGCTTTTCAATCGCCTTCGCTGACGTAACTTCTCAAAGACACCAAAAGGTGCGCTGAAGCTTGGACAACACAGACATGCCCAGTCAAAACCAAATGCCGAACCAATTGAACTCAAATGGATTGCGTTACACTCTTCTACTCGTATCAAATATCTACCGGATGCAGAAAAGATAAAGTCAAAGACGACTTCAAGGCCACGTATGGAGCACTGAGTAGTACATACCGGGCCCCATCACCATCCCAAGGCACCCGCCCACGGCCGCTTGGCGCTTCGCCGCTGTCGTTCAAGATGCGACTGAGCCAGTCGGGCGCGGCTCGGAGATTGGAGCGGTTGGGCAGAATCTCGTGGTCCCACTTGTAGCAGCGCAGCGTGCCGTCGAGGCCCGTGTAGCTGCTAGGTGCGGTGTACAGCATTCCCCGCCTTCCACGGACATCAATGCCCACCGCTTTGCCCTTGTACCGAATCTTTGCCTTGTTGGCAAGTTGCACAGGCCGGCCTTCTCGGACAGAGACAGAGAAAAGAGGATGTGCAGTCCTCCATTTCCTTGGAGGACTCGCGGCGTGTCCTCCAAAAACCCTCCATGCTCTTCGAGCATTTGCTCGAGTGCTTCGAAGCCCCCGTCCTTGACGTCAACATCGAGAGCATAGATGTCCGACTGCTCCGTGATAATGGCGATAGAGTTGCGCCCTGGCTTGGCAAACTCCTGGAGACAGTTGCCAAGGTTTGCCTCCTTCCAAGGCTTGGACTCGGAGCCCCAATTGCACGGCTGCTTCCGGACTTGACCGTTTGGAAACTGCTTTTCGAGAAGGTCGTGGGTGACTGTCACAACGCCAAGGCTGTGGAAATGATGAGCGGCGGCCAGGACGGAGTCGATCGCCAGTACAGGAGCTTCGATAGATGGGCTCAGTCCCTGGAGGGAGAAAAGATGGATTTTTTAGATCAGCCTGCTCTTGATCTTGAAAGGCACTCAAGCATGCCCCACTATTGGAAGAAAAGGTGATGTCAGCAAAAAGTTTCCACCCAAGAGTTTGGCAAAAGCTTGGACACGTGGACACCTGTTGTATCGAGCCTCGACTCCGAGGGTCCGTGTCGAAAGCACAGGAACGCCGAAGCGTTTAGCAGATGTATGGACCGTCCAGTTGGTCGGACTGTGCAGAAGAGTCGTTGAGGAACTGGAGTGATGACGTCAGCAAAGAAAATCCCCTCCAAAAGTTTAGTAAAAGCTTGGACATGTGGACAGTGTATCGAGCCTAGGTTGTCTTATGGAGAAAGTGACGGAAGCATGAAAAAACTGAGGCGGATATCTGAACTGTCCTGACTTTATTGACGTGTCGTCAAGAAACTGGTGCACTTTTCTCCAACAAATGCCGCTGCCGATAGCATTTTTCAAGATATAAATGTTGTGCGACTTTTCCTTGTCATTATTTTATGACATCAACGGTTGATATAAATAGGTCTGCACGTCTGGTCATGTGAAAATTATTGTCGAAGCTCTACTATATGATCAATAAGTATGGATGCCTTGCGTCAGCTGTTCACCGACAACATTCGAACTCAGGCATCCGTTGATCAATACGTAAGGGGCATTGCCCGTATCTATCAATTGTGCCATGATCGACAACTATCCAATACAGATGATTTAAGCTTTTTGGAAACAGACGCACACGTTTTCACTCAGCTCGTGCATGATCGATATGCAAATCCTGGATCAAGAAGGACCCGATTGGCCCCTTTTCTTGCCGCTTGTAAAAAGCTCGGAAACTCAGAAGCTTATCAGATTTATTTACAGCCCTTTCAGAAGGATAATCAGCCGTTGAAAGAACTTCGTGAGGAACAAGCCGCTGAATCGGGGCATGACCCTATGAAACAACTCGAGATGTCACGTGAAGACATTGATCTTTTGGGTAGCAAGCTTGCCTGAAAGGTCCGATCTTTGTCACACGTTGTTGCAGACGACCTCGACAGAAAGGATGTGAAAACCATAATGATACATTTGCTCGTTGAATGGCATCTTCTGATAAAAAAGCACGTCAGACGAGGTGTGAAGATCTATCATTTACCTATCATTCTCAAGAGGAGTGGAGGCCAGCACGATGACACCGAAGATGCACTGATCCAGACAAGTCGGTCAAATAACACGATTTGTTTACTGAAACAACAAGAGTTGTACGAGCTTCCAACAATGTTTTGTAAGTACCTTGCTAGAACGTTAGAGCTCATCCCTCGAGACTTTTTTATAACCTCAGTGTCTGATCCGCTAACACCAATGTCAGGGAGCAATTACAGCAATTTCTGCGGTAAGCTTCTTTTCAACGGAAAGTCACTCAATCTTGAACGCATCTAACTAGACTTGTTTTCTAGCCGAAAAATAAATCTAACGATAAGTTTAGCTGAAGGACTCCGGCTGCGAAGCTACAAGAAAGATGGCCACACGGGTAGTTCACATCGAGGGGCCACACAATCAGAGGAAGGCATCGCCATCGCAGTTACCAAAACTAAGGAGCATCCTCAAGGTTAAAGATGGTCGTGATGGTTCAGAGGCAACTTTACGGGCCGACTCTACCGTGAATGTATACCTCCGCCAGATCCTAAACATATACACAATTCTTAACCCAAACCAGCAACTAGATGACGATGTGTCTATAGATTGGATAAAAGATTATGGAACCGTGATAAATGCGATCGAAAGTTTGTTAGACAGAAAAGGAAAACCCATCAAATCGCTTACAAAAAGTTCTTATGCGGCACCATTTTCAATCCTTGCTCAGAAGAAGGGCTTCGAGGACGCACAACGAGCGTACGGTGATTTCATTGAAGCAAAAAAGCCTACCGAGGTCGAGCTGGATGAAACAATGCAACGCAAGACACCAAAGGAGCTTGAAATGTGGGTGCCTTGGAAAGAAATGATCAAGGTAAGAGACAACCTTGATCAGATTATCACACGAACAATCATTGAAAAATTTAGAAATGGTCGTGCATTGACGCGTAGCGATAAAGAACTCGTTAACGACCATTTGATCCTAAGCTTGTACACAATGCCTCTCGGGCCCCTACGGAACGAGTTTGGGAGTTGTCGAATTCTCATAAAGGAGGAAACTGAAGAATTTGAAGCAAAACCTGGTGACATCAATACATGTATTCTAACAAAGGATCTTGAGCATTGCCAATTTGTTATCAGCAGCCACAAGACACTCAACAAGGTGGGCATACGGAGATTGCACATTCCTGAAAATCTAGTCAATGTCATTCTTCGAAGCTCTAATCTCTTTCCAAGATACTACTTGGTCATGAAACATTACTATCTTGGCTTTAAAGATGAACCAATCAATAATTTTACCATTGTACTGAACGATTTGGGTCAACGTCACTTTGATAAGAATCTATCGTGCACGTTGCTCCGTCATATTTCGCATACAGAGCTCACACCCAATTTGGGTTCCCGAGGGGAGGTACGAAAAAAGTGTGAATGGATGGGGCACTCGCTTTCAACGGCACTCAATCATTACGAGCGGCGGTGGTCACGTTGATCCGCACTTGATATACAGGTGCGCGTTTTTTATCAAAAACAATTTCTTTCTCTGGAAGTAACGGTAGTGTCGTTGCCGTGCACCATGACTGGCAATCACGACCACTCAGGCTCCACTTTGTGTGCAGCATGCTTGGAATCTGCAAACTATAAGGAGGAACAACAAGCCAAAAGCAGGACCTATGCACACGCATATTATGATTCTAACAAAGAGCGAATACTGCTCAAGAAAGCTCTTGAACGAATGGAGAAGGGTGTTCGAGTCAACAGACGTACTATGGAACGTTTACACGAGGCAAAGATCTACATTGCTGTCTAAGCATCGTAAGTCACCCTATTTAGATCGTGTAACAAACATCTCAACATATCCTTCCAGCACTCATATGGAGATGTACCATGTTGTGCCACTCTCCCTCTGAGATGCCAGCAGCTTGTGGATTGTGGACCTGTCGATCGAGTGTCGTGTTGAAGTGTTATGATGCTTCGTGCATACAATGAAAACCATTTGGAAATCTTGAGAGGGTTGTTGTTCATAGGCGCGCCGTGGACTTCGGATGGCTTAGGGCGCGTTTCAATACCAAGAAATTTTTCTAGAATAGAAAATATTGCACAGTGGCCGGAGATGGAACTGTTGAAAATATTCGAGGAGTACGCTAACGAAGGCCTGTATGCTATTCCGGCAAAGGCTTTACTAGGGCAAGATGGGTGTAGTAAGAGGGTACTCGGAACTATGCCACATGCGAACGGGGGCACAGCTATACGGTCAGCTTCCGATTGGAATGCTTCAAAGAAGAGAATGAAGGAATACGTACACGAAAAACAGTTCAATTCTATCGCAATCAAGACTGGCTGTATATCGGATGTATACGTTCTGGATATTGATGTCAAGGACAAAGAGGACGAAGACGTATCGGCTGGAATGCCGTTTTGGAAGAGCTTGATTGACAAACATGGAGAGCCAAACACGTTAAAAGCAACTACTCCTCGTGGCGGATTTCATTACTACTTCTCGTTTTCGAGCATCCTCAAAGATGGTCTCAAGTCCGGTAAGAACTTTGTGGGTGTAGATGTGAATGGTCAAGTCTATGGAATTGATGGTCGTGGTGAAGGGGGAATTGCGTTTGCTCCACCGAGCTCGCTTGGCAATGGAAAAGAATACAAATGGAATGTCACACCGAAAAGGACCAATATTGCAACCGCTCCAGCATGGGTGATTGAACTCATAAATACTTCTGCTAGACGAGTTGGTCGTAACGGACAGATAGACATACATGACGCATCCCGAATAGTGCGTTGTTTAGAGCTCAATGAGCAGGACGAGTCGTTTCTACACACCGCTTTTGCAGACGAAGG